GCCTGGGGTCACCATGACTCCAGGGCTATCAACACAGCCAAGCGAGGGAGACCGTTCACCGTGAGTGTGCAATTTGGGGGTGCTCTGAGCCAGCCTCTCTACCTGCCTCCTCCAGTTCTCCAACCTCCGAGAGAGCAAGAAACATGAAGAAATGATGGGGCGCATCGAGAAGGACAACCTTCTCCTCCGACAGGTGAGTGTCGCTTGCTGCCCACGAACGTGTCTGGTGCTGGGACGTCTGCCAGAGGCAGCTTGGCTGCAGGAAGGACCCTTTGCTTCAAATGAGCCCAGTGAAGCATTGTGCTGTTAATGGAAAGGTTGGTAGTTCAAACCCACCAGTGGCTCCTCAGGAACCAGATGAGGCAATCTGCTTCCAGGAAGATTCCCATCCTCAGAAACCCTAAGGAGCTGCTCATTCTACATTGCCCGATCGGGCGGTTATAAGTCTGGGTCAATTCCACGACAGTGGGTTTGGTCTGGTTTGATTTCAGGCAGCGTCCTACTCGCCAAGTCTCAGGACAGCCCAGCCAGACAGCGGGTCCTTGAAGTCTTTAGCTCAGGATTTGACCTGGGCCGCAACGAGAGTGCTCCATCCTTTCTTGACCTGGGGACCGGAGTGGAGGGGGTGGGTAGGTAGAAGGGAGGGCTTGGACTGGGGAGCACATGCCATGCCCCTTCTCCTGTGACTCCCACTGGCCCCTCTCTCCCCCAGCACGTGATGGATCTGGAGAAGGAGCTCACAGAGCGAGACCACATCATCTCGGAGTACAGCACAAAGGTGCAGGAGCTTCAGTCCCAGGTGGACCAGGACCAGAGCCACATAAAGAAACAGAAGGAGCTGCAGGATAAACTGCAGAGCATGAGGGACCAGAGCCGGCAAGCCGAACAGCAGTCCCGCGTGTCCCTGGAGAACTCCCAGGCCAGGGTATGCCCAGAAGCTGGCTGCGCAGACACCGGGCCCTTGCCCACTGCCAACTGAGGTAGACATGCACGCTGAGAGGGCAGGGCTCTGGCTATCCCCCGTGTCCCCCAGCACCCAGCTTGCAGTTGTTTCTTGAGAAATGTTGGGTGGAGGCGGGAGGGAGGGTGTGGAGGTGGACAGCACCTTGGCTGTTGTGGCAGGAGGCAGCTCTGTGTGCAGGGGCCACCTTATTGATGGGGGTCGTGGGACTTGGGCTTGACTGCGAAGAGCCCAGAGGGGTTGGGACGGCTGGCCAGGAAGGAGAAGGATACTGAGGTGGGGCAAGCAGAAGAATAGTGTCCAGTTGTAATTCTGGGAGTCCTGGATAGTACGCACAATTAATATGCGCAGCTGCTAAACTGAAATGTTGGAGGTTCGAGTCTGCCCAGAGACTCCTCAGAAGATAAGCCCTGTAGAGGACCAGGCTCCTCTGACAATGTCGGCATCCCCAGGAGGCAGAATCTGGCACTCGTAATTCAAAGAACATATATATATATGCTATCGGCCGGGTGTGGGGCTAAGCCCTTGCTGAATATTAAACCCAGAAGTGGGAGTCAGACTAGTATTCTCACCTTCCAGATAGAGAAACAAGGGAGGATCAATCACCCACCTAAAACCCCCAGGCCTGTTAAAAGGAGGTGCTGGGATTTGAACCTGGCCAGGCTCAATGGCAGGGCCCACCCTTAGCAAAGAAACAACAGGGAAGAGCCAAGCTTCCTGCAGGCCAAGCTTAACCAAATGTCAAGGTTGCACTCACGGGGGCAAA